TCGCGTTACTGAATAAAGAGTCAAAGAGGAAGATCTTGGGCTTGAGATTGCCTCCGCGTCGTGGAACTGAAGCTTCGCCGGTCACTACGCCTACCGCAGACATGGAGATGACGACTGCGACCCTCGACAGACGACATCGAGCAGAGGAATCGACGGCGACTCTCTTCGGGGTGACAACGGAAGGAAAGGAGATGACGGCAACTCCTCGGATTCCTTCGCCAAAAGCTCGAGGAGGATATGTGGCGGGGCAATCGACTTCGGCTCTCGCCTGGGCATCAATCGAAGCGGAACCGAGGCAGGGTGGCCAGGTGCGTTCGTCAGCGGCGCTAGTCGCGCCAAGGATGCCGCGATTTGGGGCGACATCAGGCGTGACAAAGCCCAAGAGAACTCGGACGACGACTTCTGGGAAGGAGGAGGAGCAGGGCCACCGAAATTCTTCGCCTGCGGTGAGTCTAAACGCGATGCCGACCGACGGAGCAGGGAGGCGGGAGATGAGGTTGGAAGTGGGATGGTTTCTGGGTCGCCGAGTTCCGCCGGAGGAGATGAAGAAGGTGACGGCGGCGGATTCGTGGCCTCTGAGCAATTGGCGGGTTTGTGAGCCAACAGAGAAGGACATGAAGGCGGCTCTCCTCGTGTCGGCGATCAGCAGGGAGAGGAGTCGGAGGACGGAGCCAAAAGCGCGGCAGCAGCCTCGCCGCTGGGGTGCTTGTGCGTCGCCGGCGAAGGTGGCGAGGGGATTGCCGAGGGAGAAGGAGCTCTTGGGCGGCGGTGGGTTTCCGTCTCCAGCAACCCTAGGTCACACAAGCAAGAAGCCAGAACCGTTGGGCCGAGTTATGGGTCAGACCGCTGGGCTCGAGTTGACCGGAGAGGATCAGCAATCGGAGTGGGCCGAAATAAGCCCACCGGTTAAGTCTTTTCTGTTTGGGAGTGACCTGACAGAACAGCTAAGCGGGCTGAAAAGGAGTCCACTAGTTAAGTCTGTTTGGTGTGGTTTTGGGCCGAAATCAATAGATCCACTGGCTGAGGAAGATGGGCTGAAGTGTGGACACAAAGCAGCAGAGAAGTGGACGGATTGGGCTAAACCAAAGGGTTATTATGGGCCTAACACTAACTGTCTTGTTGGATTTACATTGCAGGAACATAATTTGAAGAAAGAAGGTATTGGGCTTTTAAGAGAGCTTAATTTAAGCCTGTGTGGAGAAGAATGGAACATAAATGGAGTTACCCTTGGGTTGGATCACTACTCATTCTTACAAGCCAATCTGGGCCGACCCAATGGAGTAGGAAAGGAAGGTTGGGAAAAGTTATGGATTGTTTTCACCACCAATTTCATGGAGCTATTCTTTGAAGATTTCAAGTTGGTGCGTGATGAGAAGCAAGACGAAGAACAATTCCTTGATTCTTATTTTGTGGACTTCGAAAAGGAAGAAGGAGAATTGTTCGGCTATGGAGAACGTGACATATGTCACATGGGTGGAGGAGAGTCGAGGAATGTTAGAGTTGTGCAAGGAAAGTTTATTCGAGAAATCGAGCGCAATTGAAAACGGAGAAAGCGGAAGGTCAAGGAGGCCGAAGTCAACTACAACCTTGAGGTCAAGGTTGTTCTCAAGGGGGATGGATTGTCAGAAACACATTTATTTGGAGTTTTATTATTATATTAGGTAGGATAATTATTATGGTTAGTAGAGATTTAGTCCAATTAGGTTATTCGTTAGGGTTTTCCAGTATTTTCTTATAAATATGTACTTTGGGTTTACGTCATAATTAATCAAGAACAATATTCAGAAGAATCTCCTAAACCCTAGTTTATCCTCTCAACTCCTAATTTCTCGTCTCATCCTAGTCCAAGGCCTCGGCCGATTCCCAATTCTATTCTTCCTCATCTAAATCCCTAATTATTTCTCTCAAACCCTAAATCCCTAATTATCATGAGTGCCGAAGATCAGTATCGAGAATCCCTAGAAGCGAGGTTCTCACATATCCACCTTCTAAGACTACTGAATTGAGGAAGTAAATTACTTACTTCGTGCAAGAGGAGGATGAGACCCTTTGGGATTCTTGGAAGCGGTACTCTGGGTTTTTCTTGAAGTGCACACACGACGGTTTTGAGATCATTTCAAGTGTGCACCTTCTACAATGGGGTTTTTAGGATAACCGCCCGCTCATTGATTATTTCTGCCAAGGGGAAAGCTGAACAAGATCCCACCTCAGACGACTCAATTTTTTAAGGAGATGGAAGCCTGTGGGCATGATTGGGGAGTCCCTAGGAAGGCTCAAAAGACAAGTAGCAGAGGTGTCCTACCAGTGGACTCTCAGGCCTCCCTCGAGGCCACAGTGGAGAGCAACATGAAAAGGTTCATCAGGAGGGATTTGACCACTCTCCCAGACTATGCTTTGTGGCTTGAGTAGGAGTAGCATCCATGTTTTGGAGGCTTGCCAAGTCGTGATGGAGGCCACCACACCTCATGAGTAGGTTGACTTGATTGCCAATGCTCGATTAAGCAACCATTCTATTAACAACTAGCTTATAACCTGGCTCGTTAGCCGGAATATTCATATTTGATTATTATTATTTTCATGTTACGTTCAACTCTATCAACCTGTTTAATTTTATTGACAGTCCTTCGATCGAGATTATACATAAAGAAAGAATATATAGATCGAACATTTGGAGAAATATAAAAATGTATCATTGATCTTATTTTCATAATGATAATTAAGTCCCCGGTAAAATGCTATTGGTTAGTTGATTGCCAAGAAAGATAGAGTATTAAAGTTCACTGAAATTCCCTCACAAATCATAGATAGTTTGAAACTAAATCTTAAACCTCGCAATCCTACATAAAGGTTCAATGCTCTCCTTTTAGGAACAATATGTCACTAATCAAAAGGAAATTGAGAGTTGTTTATTCAAGTCAACTATATGCTAACAACTCGGCTGAGAGGGGACCATCACAACTTGAGAGCAAACGGCAAGATTAGGGTTACCTCCAATATACTAATAGATCCTATCAAAGTAATAAGGAACAAAATTAGACACTCCTTCTCTATCAGTTCCAGTAGGTTGAATAAAGAATCGACTGACCTACTTCAGTAAATCAATCGATGATTCCTCATTTTTAGATAGAATTAGGTTGCGATAGCTTAAAAAAACCATAAACCTAAAGATGCAATAGCCACCACTCTCCGTTGTACAATAAAAATTTTATCCACTCTATCTTCAATCTCAAGAGATGTTTCAACCAAAACTTGAAATTTTAATTCTCCTTCTGCACCTCCATTTATTGAACTCCATTCTATTCGCCATGGATTGATATTGGAGTTGAAATCTTTTACTTGCCCAGTTTAGATCCCCAAGAATAAAATCGTAGTGCCAACAGACCAGAAGATTGATTTTCAAAGGCAGCCTTGTACTGTGAAGTGAAAGGGCGCAAACTATTGCATGATGAAGGGAATTTGAGAGGAAGATAGAAAGAGATAAGAACAAAGATAAAAAAAGTACAAATTTAAATATAAATTGAAAAATGTAAGGATACAACACATAGTAATAGAATTAGTTTATTCCATGTTGGCCAATTTCCAATTTACCTTTAGCGAAAATTAAGGAAAGAGTAGTGATTTTAGAATTGAGAAACTATATAAAACTCTGCTATGAAAATTGCAGTATCAAGCACCATAAAAATACATATGGTAGACTTAGTGGGCTTGCTAATCATGATGAATAAGTCCTCTTATTTTCAGTGTCACTTCGTGTATGTTTTGTATTTAAAAAGATACAAGAAGTTTGTTCAGTGTAATTGGTTGTGATTGTTGTCTTTGTTTGAAGAGACTCGGATTCAAATCTTGATATTGACATTTTTATATGAAATAAATAATTAATTGTAAAGACAAAAATGCCCTTCCTACTTTCACTCTGGAAATTTGAAATAGAGAAAAGTAGACAAAGCCCTTCACAATCCGATCCTACTCAAGAGAGGATGAGCAAGCTTGACGATTTGGTAGCATTCAACAATTTGGGGTATCAACATGTTCATGGGTACGGCTGCTAAGAATTTTTATCCCTTGAAGTAGGGATGAGAGATTAGCATGCTTCTTTGTAGAGTTTGGAGACTGAAATGGAAACTTCATAGAGGCCCTTACTGCTAGAGCTCTTAAGGACACTCTCGGATCAAACACTTCTCAATCCGAAAGACCCAAGGGCATCATTATATGCTATTTTGTTGAGTGGAAAGGTGGCAGAAGATGCACCTCCTCGGTGCCATGAAGAGGTGGATATCCCTCCGCTAGAATCAGCAAAGGAGCCGGAGCAGGAAAAGAAGGCAGAGGTTCGAGCATCAAATTGAAGCCTACAGTGGTTGAATTCAAGCCTCATCTACCTTTTCCTACCCATATGTGTAAAACGGGTGTTGCACACAAATTACCTTATATAGTAAGATAAATAAGCACGAGTAGACTCATTGCTACGAGCCTGCGATCCAAGTATATCACAATATGGGTTTTGTCCCTTATCGGGTAATCTTCAACCTTGAGAAGCAAACACACAATCGAGAAGAGTAGGGAGAGACACACGTACACAATATGTTTTGTTAACTAAGTTCGACCTGTGGTTTTACGTCTTAACTCCAAGGTGGCTTACCTTTTGAAACCTAATATTTAGGATGTTATCTTATTCCAGTATAACTACAAGTTGAGTTCTTTTGGATTGAACTCATACCCTTGAGGTCAAGTATTCCTAGTGCACATGCATTACAGAGAAAAATGTTTTTTTTTTTTCTTACGTAAGGTTGAAAAACCCCGACTAAATTTAGTCTACACTTGTGCTTACATGTCATATTTGTTGGATATCATTGCTATAGGCTACTAGACATTTCTCAGGACATGAACTCTTTGTTGGGCCATAATTTTTTTCCTTTGCTACTTGCTGTATTTCAGGGAACTGTCAAAAAAAATAGGATGCCCACGGCCTTTGTCTGCATAGTTTAAAGTCTCACATTGATTTTGTTACATTGAGTGGGAAGGAATTTCTATGGTGTACTAAAAAATCAAGTCTGGGTTCAAAAAATACTTAACAAAATAGGCGAAATTAGCAAGCGCAGACCCGTTGTTGCTTAAAATTTTCCATTGATATGATTGGATTACAGAACTTTTGTACCCTGTAACAAAATATTTACATAGAACTTTACATCATGAAACACCTCCCCAATCACTTCAACGCAGGAGACAGAAGCAATACGGCTCCGGCTTCACCACATACAAACACCGTAAATTCTAGTATTGCCATAGCGCTGCTTCTGCCTCCTGCTACCAATGCTGTCGCATGCTGCCTATTTTAACAAACTGAACCAAGCCAACCTCACGGCACTGTACAATTACTACCTCAAGTAAAATACACAACACCTTAAATCAACTGGCCGGCACAGCACAGCAGCAGTAAGCTAAGCACTAGCACTAAATCTCAAATTCGATTAACCCCAACAGATCTTAAGAAACCTAATAATTTTGCTACTTAGCTCTCACGGTAGCAATGGTCCACCAGGACATGATGCTTCCTGGTCGTCGATTGTTGTTTGCTTCTCATTTGGAAGGCAATCTACTGGAATGTAAAAATAACCTTTGGGTAACTGCTGATTCCTCATGCTTGCTTGATCAGAAGTCATCACCAACTCCTTCTGCAATGTTTCTAGACGCTGCAAAGTCAATTCCCAAAAAAACCGACAATTAATGGAAAAAAAGAATACCTCCAAAACACCAAATGCTTGTAGGCAATATATGATAGGATGAATTATAAATGTGGCATTTGATACCTTCCTTGATCTTGAAGTCGAGTCTACTTCATCTAATAGACTACGAACATGGAGACCAGATCTTCTGGGGATTTGCTTCCCAGCAAATTGCAGCCTCTGTATTGGTCTATTGCTGTTGAGTGTATGTTGGGAAGTAAGACTGTTCTCATCTGTTTTCTGCTCGGTCTCAGTAGACATGGTGACCTTGAGCCGTTTCTTGACAGAGGCAGCACTGTCCACTGTGATTTCATCCGATCTCTGAATTGCGGCATCACTATAACCATCTGTCGTGTTTCCCTTGAGGGATGTGGTTGCTGACTCTGAACTAGCATCAGGATGGAAAAAAGGATTTTGGACAAGAGCAGAATGAGCTGTATGATCCCTTTTGGAGGCAAGTATGCTATGAGAGCAGATCACCAAATCCCGCTGTATACAAATGAGAGAGCTTCCAAGTCAAGCTAATAGAACTAAAAACAAAACGAGTCATCTGCAAATGATCGTAACCATTTTTTGAAGACCGGTTTCAAATATACCAATTATAGGCTATGTTTGGTTGAAAAATAATATACTTTGGAACCATTACAATTTGTGAAGAATGTTAACATAAATGATCGTTCAAAAATAATAATAATAATTAGTATTATTATATATGGCTAATACCCATATAGCATACTACATGGAATTTTTTTTTTTTTTTTTTTGTGATTGGCTTTATTAGGATAGCTAACAAGAAAATGGAACTTATTACACGTAATACTAAAATTATGTATCATTATACAAATGACTCATTGAAATGACTTCAAAAACCTTTTCACAAACAACACATTTGGAAATGTCTACATTGTCAAATACCTCATTAACCAAATCTCTATATATGATCAAATGACAAAACAAAGGACCCCTAGATGCACTAGCAGTTCTCATCCAACTGAACATAAAAATGGCTATCTACAATCCACTAAAAAGAGACTGTGACTCCTAGTTCTATTTTGTCCAGCAAAATTATATCGAAGAAATGCATTTGAGTTATTAGAAGCTATCCTAGAATCATTAATGAGAGTACCTACCTTTAACTTCTCACGTTTGATAATTCTTTCACATAGAAGGCGCAACCTCTCCAATTCAACCTGGGAATACAGAAAAAAGAGGAAAACACACGACTGGTAAAAACACTAATCGATCGTGGCTACTGATATTAACAGAATGTCAAGTGACAACCTAAGGGAACACAATTTACCCTGATTTGTTTGATGCTCTTTAACTCATCAACACCATGCCTCTGTGATTCAGCCTACAAATAGCAATGAATATATAAGCTAACCATCTCAAAATTAAAGCCACTAGCATTCAAATTCACAGACAAATGACAACTTTCAGACCTTCAACCTCTGCTCCAAACTATGCTGCTGACAGTAAGCCTTGTGCTGAAACTTGCCACTGAGGAACTTGACCATCATATAAAAACCCACACTTCTTGCACAAGAGGGATGAAATGTAGTCTGACAATGCCCATAGCTACACTGCAGAAATGAGGTTGTACTCAATGATTTGCAGCAAACATCAATAACACCCAGCAAGTTATAAATATAGTACACTAGTGGAAGGAAAAAAGATCAAGCAGGCTCACCCGTAAACAAGCACCATGTTTACGATGGCACACGCAGCAGATATCAGGCCGTTTTAGGAGATCTTCCTAGAAATAGAGTTAATTAAGCTGTTAATACTGAAAAGAGCTTTCACAGAGATACTGGATACGGAAGATATAGAAGAGCAGATTCTCATTGCAAAAAAGAAGAAAAGAAAGGATATAGGCCCAGCTGACATTTACTATTTGCGAAAACAGAAAAGAATCAATGATATCATAGAAGTTGAAAAGGCAGTCTATATAACTGTTTCATACCATTCCTTGAACAAGATTTACTTGACCCCTTCTGAACACTGACTGAAGCAACCACTGCGGATGGTAATGGAAACAGTTGTGCATCAGGGAACCAACATAACACCAATCAGACTATCAAGAAGTAACCTAGGAGCTCACCTCTGCGCAGAAGGCATGGACCCACTGACCATTGATGCATTTCCGGAAAGCCCCAGTTGCACCGCCACATAAACCACATTCAGCAACAAAATAAGGCTTTTCCCAGAAATTTAAAGAATGACCTCCAGACTGCTGGGATGATAACAAGTCTTCACATAATTCACAGTGCCATGGACCTGGAGATTCTTTGACATTGCGATAACAATCCAGATGAACTGCAACCTGTTAGAAATAAGCTTGTTGTTACTATGATGCAGAAATATTTCTCACAAAACTTATTGAGGTCTGAGTAAACAACCCACAACCTTACAACTGGAACACACTAAGATACAGTTCAGTATTGTCTCAGGCCGCCTACAAATATCACATGATCTAGGATGCTCTTTGGAAACTTCAGGAACCGACTGAACAAAATCAGAATATTTGTCAGATGAGATCCTTGGAAGTGCCACCCTTGATAGTGTTCCTTTTGGACAAGGAATTGACTGAGACGATAAGCCAGGCCTCCCACTGGAAACATTGAGCTTCTAAAAAGAAAGATAATCATTAACAGAAATATATCTCAAAATAAGAACGATTATTAGCTTGCAATACAAGGAAAACAAATTGCACATGCATGAGAGACCAACCTCATTAATTGTGCACTCATCAAAAGCATCTTTCCTAAGGAAAGAAGTTCTGGACGAAGCAGATGCAGCAGAAGTTGCAGCAGCAAGAATAGCTTGAGCTTCTTTGTGCTTCTTCTCCTTCCTTCCCCATTTCTTTGCTTCCCTGAGTTCACATATGTACTGATTAACAAGCACCGAGTCCCATGTTTGCTTCCTTGAAGCATCAATCTCGTTCGGTATGCTCTTAGATAGATTACAAACCAAATTTCCTGCCAAGAAAACAAAGGATGGACAACCTTGCATTAGCTATCCAGCATACGCCCCAAAGAGAATTCTCAGTAGAAGTAGTTGCAGATTTCAAAAAAAATTGAAGCCATGTCCGACATTCATGGGGAAGCAATCTTATTCACAATATCCAGTTATTTCAACCAAGGAAACAAAGAGTAGAGCAACCGCACAACAGAGAACATAATATCAAAGGACACATAAAGGTACCAGTCATGTTCTTCCTCTGAGCCGCAGTACTGAGCAGCTTATGCTGAAAATAAATTATTTCTTCTTCAACTTCATCTGCTGGAGACAGCGGAAGAACTCTCAATTTAGCATCCTTAAGTAGCTGCTCAGAACTGCCTCCATTGGGGTCATAAACATTGTCATTGCACTCTGCATATTTGCTCTTATGATTACAGAAACCGTTTACATTTGCAGAAGCCTCCAAACCAGATATTTCTACCTCCTTGAATCCTACATGTTTATAAAATCAGCAGATGACCATCGAGGTACAGAGGTGAATAAAGCCAAAAATAAGAAACCTCATTTGCCTTCGTACCTTCATAGTCACTAGTTCCACCATTGAAGGGCACTCTTACGTGCAGTCTTATTAGTTCCTGATGGATACTAGGGTGAATGTAAGTGCTGGAAGATGCATCCATTTTCCTATAGTAAGTGAAAGAGATTAACAATGGGGGGAAAATCCACTATTTGCCTGAGAAACTATTTTGCTTTCAGACACCAGGAAAAGAAATCCAAATCCAAAAATATTTTACTTCCCAAAAATATAATGTTGTGTCATGAGATTTGTGAATCACAAGTCTGCAAGTTGAGAAATGATGACCATACATCAGATCAGGGAGAAGTGCATCAACATCAGACTCCACCAGAATTTCCTTCTGCTTTAGTGCCATACCAGAACCTTCTCTTTCTGTTGACTCAACCTTTCTTAAAGAAGCACACTCTGAGAAATCTCTCATGCTGCCTGCATAACACATGCACTAGTGTGAAAATACAAATTGCAAACTGTGACATAATAGCTATTATTATACATATCAAAAAAATAATTTGTTCAGCAAATATAGTGATACTGATATTTACCTTCATGTTCAGGCGAATATGGTGCTTGCAAATCACTGACACTATCATTTAACAATCTCTGCAAGACATAATTCCTAATTAAACAGCACACTTATATATGTAAGCTGGATACAAGATTTTCTGACAGAAATCATTTCCCTTACCGACACAATTCACCCAAATGGTTTATTACAAATACTACATATTTTCGGTCATAGCAACAACAAAATACATCAAAGAAGCAGATTGTCAATGGATATTATTAAGATTATCAACAGAAAGCTTGTAAAGGAAGATTATTAAGATTCTAGAGACTATTAATAAGGAAAGATACTAGAAATGAAGAAATCTAAAGAACAAAGAGACATACATTTACTACCTCGACTAGTAGGATCTTCTAGGACTAACTGTTTCACAAGGGACACACTGAGAGGATGAAAAACAAGAAAACATTTATGGTGATATCCTCGCATCAAATCAGGGAGGAAGCATCAACAAAAGAATCACACATCAACAGAGATGAAGATGACCGCACCCTAACAAATAAATATTTAGCTATAAGATAACCATTTCACCTACAATGGAAGTAGATGCTTTGTTTGCATCTTCTGGTTCTTCATTGACCAGCTGTTCTACTCTTAAGTCAGTCCCCATACCATTTTCAGCCACCATGTCCTCGGAAAAGCAACGCGTTTCATCATTCTTGTGAAACTTAATGTTGTTTTTTGTTTTTCTCCATGGAGGAACTGACTTTATAGCTACAGTACCTGTCATGTCAGACGGTTGCTCTATCATGACATCAGAAAAATCGCAAGTCTCCTCAGACGTGGATAGCATTGCAGACTTAAGCTTAACTTTTAAATTCTTTAGGGAGGCACCCATGCAAGCATGATTGCTAAGCCATTTGACTATTTTGCACCAAACTTCAGGGACTAATCTGTCTTCCTGCAATATGAAAGGAACTAGTTGGGATGAGGGCAGCTATTATGAAAATTTTGGAAAATTATTCTAGGATTTCAAGTTCTACCGCAAGTATTGCAGTTAAGGAATCAGGTGAGCAGCCCAGCTCTGTCGCCACATCTTTCCCGTTGATTTCTCCAAGATGAATTAACTGTGTCAACAAAAAAAAAGGAAGTCAATCAAAGCGAGATATACACTGGATTGAACACAAGATCCTATAATAAAAAGGACTAGACTATTCTTCAATCACCTTAGTCATCACAAGGGCAAGACTTAAAGAGCCTGATGAGCTAGGATCCTCAATAACAGGTCTCTGGGACATTAACAGATTACTCCTCTGGAATGTATCCCCATCTGATAAAAGTTCCCTGTTTTCTTTAGAAACAAAAGACCCAAGGCCATCTTGATCAAAGTCTCCAGATTTAACAGTAGAAGTAGTAAGACCAGGAGATCGTAGACAAGGTGCAAATTTATCTCCATTTTCACTGATCGTGTGATGCTTATTTGGAGACAGCTTGGCCAAACTATTGTTAACACCAGAGACCCTTTTTAGAATCAAAGAAGCTTCTCCAGCTTGAAAATTGTCTTTGCCATCAAGAATCCCAGAGTGCTTGGAGCAAAAGGCACGCAATTCAACCTGCGGATTCAAACAGAATGAGAGTAGGCAATCCTAAGTTAATTACATGGAATAATCCAACCCGATATAGAAGAAACTTTGGTCTTAAAACCATAAAATACTGTTGCTAGGGCATGCTATGTCTTAAGAATGGGTGGAGGGGAGGAAATAGCTTACACTATCATGCCCATAGTTTCCCCAAACCTCTATCCTATGTCTTGCCTCCCTTGCACATATAGGATGGAAAGCAAGTCTACAAGTTCCTGAAAACCCAAGCAAGAGGAATGATGTAAGCATGTGAGCTTATTAGGGCTGTAGAAGGCAAGAGGAGAGTGATTAAATGACCGATTTCAAGGGGTGACAAGTTTAATCACAACAAAGTAAACAGTCAAGTAAAAGATTATAAAAAAATTTGCAATAGAATGACTTATCGGGGGGAAATCAGGCATGAACATGAAACATATGACATTACACATCATTCCCAACAAAGCATTCAAACACATTGGCCAAATGAAAACCAAGCTCAGATAGTAAATGTTGACATAAACCCAGATCAAAACCAACGTGATATTGAGAAGAATATGCTCTACTTGAAGGAAAAAGGATAGAAGGGGAAACGAGAAGCGCAGTGCAACTGAATATAGGCAGAAGCCCGAACAGCATGACAAAAAGCTAATATGGAAATACAGAGACCTGATAGTGCTGAAGACAGCACCTAAAAAGGACTGACAAGCCCATTAGATAGAGAACTCGGGAAGAAAACAACAAGAAAAAGGAAGAGGGAACAATAAAAAAAGAAATTGAACCTTAAGAACAGAACCAACTATTTATCAGGGGTACCAAGAAGACAAATATTTAAACTAATGCACGGGTACAGAAGCCCTAATCAGACTCATGGGTCCAAACCAAATTACTAGTACTTAATGATATAGAATCGGTTACTGAAGAAAAGAATAAGAATGATAATAATAAGCATGCCTGATCCAAAAGCAATAAACTTAGATCTATATGTAGTAACTAGCGTTCAATGGCACAGCATGACAGCTACCAAAAGACAAAGATTGACAAGCCAGAGTGCCCTTGAGAAGCATATCTAGCTTAAAATCATGCATAAACACCGAGTCTTTACAAGCAAATCATGTAAAAGGCCAGCACCAAGATGAATCAACTACAAGTAGAAAACAGCCCTGAAATTGTGATAGATTCACTTCTGGTTCTAGAACTAAGAGATACAAAGTAGCCAAACAATTTCAAATCCAGCCACAACCAAGAAAAAAGGGAAACAGTAAATTTAAAAAATAAAGTACCGAGAACGCATACCATGACTGCACCGAACACATGCACCACATTTCACCTTGCACACATTACAGACTAATTTCTTATGTGTATCCTTGATGCCGGAAACATTCATAATTGGCTCCATCTTGGTCAGATCCTCCACATAAACCTCAGGCATCCAAATAGAGCAAAACAAATGCACAAACTCTGCTTTGGAACTACCATTCTGGTCACCAACTGGTTTAGAGGCACCGCCCTGCTTCGGGCAAAGAACACATGGTTTCTTCTCCATATCTTTATCATCGATGTTCTGCTTACATCTAGTACAAAACCAAGGGCTGCCTTCATCACCTTGCACACCATAACATTTACTATGCACAGCAGCATGGCAAGAGAAGCAAACAACTAATTTATTCAAACCATTCAACAAGTCGCCCTTGCAGCAGAAATCACATATTAATGAGTTGCCTTCACAAGGTAAACCAATCAAAACCTTGTCCAACCCAGCATCACCACTTAACAGCTTCCGCTTCTTGGCAGGACGTTCTGAAGTCAACAAGTTTCTGTTCCTACAGCCCAAAACCCAACCTAAGCCGCCAGAAAAATATGAAGGGGAGACGTAGCTACTGTCTGCAGGAGGCAAAAGCTCAGTCGCATCAATTTGAATTGCCAGCCTATCAATTTCCACACGCTGCTGCTGCCCTTCTTGTTGCAACTCACTTTCTGAAACCATCCCAGTTCGGTTCTCCATCCAGGCATTCAGATCAGTATCAGGATTGTCCTGGTTAGACCAGGACTCAAATCTCTCTTTTGTCCCATTTCCAATGTTTGGAAGTGAAAAACAACCTCTAGCAGCTAGGGACCTAAGAGAAGAACATAGCTCAAACAAAGCATCAACATCTGTCAGTCGCAAATCCCTAAAGTAATCCCCAGTCTCAACCCAAATGTTCCCTCCTTTAGCACGTTCACCTGCCCGGGACGACTTCTTACCACTGCTTTGATGTGACTTCTTGTTCTTTTTCCTGCTTTCAGAATGCATCAACAAACTGGCCAGTCCACTAGGCAAAGTAGTCGAAGTCGAGCTAACGGAACCAGGAAGTTCTTCAGGAACATCAAACGGTGACCGCTCGCACAACGCTTTGCGTGCCTGTGAGAAGAAATCAACGTCCAGCAACTGAACTGTCTTCTTTTCCATTGAGGCGGGAACCTCAGGTTCGGCAGCGGCCAGAGAGTTTGGCGCAGTAACTCTACAAATAAGGCGGCAAGGCCTCTCGCCGGAGCCGCAACCTCCATCGGGACCCCTACCCATCATCTTATTCTGCCCGAGGCATTTGGGTTACAGTACTTACCACCATTACCAAAACCAAAGAACGCCAAAAAAGTATCCGTTCATTCGATACGCGAAGGACCTAAACCTAATTCCTCATAGCCAGAAAAAAAGCTGAGCCATTTGCCAAACCCTAATTTTACAAGCTCCGCCTAATATAGTGACCATAAATCGACCACTGCAGTGGGGTTTCAGTGTGCACCAGAAGATGGATAAGAAAGCATAGGACCCTGGGGATGAGGGCGATATAGCGTTAGGAGTTTCGATTGGCCGGCGAGCTGGGGATCCGTATTTCTGGTGGTGGGTTGCTTATTTCCCCCGACCTTTGTTTTCGAAGCAGTTCGATTTCGCTGTCGGGATAGAGAGACCGAGAGAGATTCGCGTTTTTTGCAGGCAGCAGACGATTCGTTTCGGTAGGAGAAGATATTTTAAGCGTGTTTCTATTTGTCGTTGTCAAACGAAAGAAATCAGATTCATTTTTCGATCAAAAGTATTATGGTTAATGTTAAACGGGGCAAAACTCATATTTCTTGAAAAATGAAAGAAAAATCCTTTCGCTTGTCTTAATTTTAGGATTTGTATTATGAGATCTTAAAAGTTAAAATCAATCATGGTAAGTGTACGGAAAGATATAACAGGAAAGCTAGTAGTAGGATGTTTATGATGAAATTATGGTTTAATCGTGTTTCATTCGCTTCATATTATTAAATACTGTATGTCATTTAACATTTAGTAATAGATTTTTTTTTTTGTCGAATCGTCGATGTGGTACAGTTTTTCACGCATTACTTATAACCCAATTATTTGAAACTCTTTCCCTCCAAAAGAACACATACCCAAAAACTAAAATCAAAACAACACACCACAAAACCCAACAACATTCTTCTTCATTGGGAGTATTTGCCAGATTCTGACGAGGTAGTTGGAGCCACGAGCTTCGTCAATCTCGGTAGCCATCGTAGTCAGATGCTCGAAAAGAAGGTAATATGTTTGAACAATTTTTTTATGGAAAATCAAATCGGATGGGTTGAAATATGGTTTGGCCATGGATCGGACTCATCTAAATCTCGTCCCAGCCATAGCATAGACGAGTAAATGGCACGGCTCATCATCCAGTCAGACATCTCTAAACACGTTCCTCCTTATGGTGTGGATGGGTTCTTAAACTCCATGGCTGATGGCCGGGTCGGAATTTCAACCCTCCCAGCCAACGCTCAAGTCGGATTTTCAACTAAGTCCAGTCGTCAGTTGGGTCGGATTTTGCACATGTCTCGACCGGATTGTGTTAGATTTTGGACAAGTTTTTACAAAAAAATTCGCCTATATTATTCTATTATTTATGTTTACTATAATGGTTGTTTTATTGTATTTATTAGGAGGGAGAACAAAGTTGTAGAACTTACATACTTTTTTGTCACTACCATCAAATAACAAGGTGGTTGTTATGAGTGATTCGATAAGTACTTCATTTTCGTTGTTTGATAGGTTTAATATTGAAACATCAAATTAACATGTTTGATCAATGAGCGATTTAGTTATGTTTTTATCGTCACTACAAGAAAACCAACTTACAGAGGCAAATAATTAGAGACAATTATTGTATTGGCCTCTGTAGCAAATCTTTAAGGGTAGAAATACTATTTGTTTCGGTAGGTAAAATTATTTGTCTCTATAGGCAAATCTCATAGTCTTTTGAAACAAATACAAATGTTACTCATAGTACGTCATATGGAGGCAAATTTAATACTCTTTAGAGACAAATACAAATGTCACTTATAGTTATGTTATATAGAAACAAATTTAATAATATGTAGAAGCAAATACAAATGCGCCTATACCTATGTCATATAGATGCAAAGATAATAGTATTTAGAGACAAATACAAATATCCTTTATAATTATATTATATACACGCAAATCTAATAATATTTAGAGACAAATACAAATGTTACTTAAATCTTAACATAAATAGGGAAGGAATTATTCACTAATAAAGGTTACTTCCACCCCTCATTTATTAGAGAAAAATTGTATTCGATTACCCAAAAATATTTTGAGAAAAAAACAAGTATATTAAACGACTTGATAGTTGATATGCGAAATCCCAACCCTGCCGTTTGCAGTCCCCTTTCCCCAGCCCTAGTCTCCGCTGCTTCATCTCCCTCAAGTCGCCATCTCTCTTCTTCCCACCCAACCTTCTAGCTGTGACGACTATCCATTTAGGGACGACGACTAGAAAAGATTGAAGTGTGTCTCCCAACTTATTTCTGTTCCGATTACCGCATCAATCGATCTCTATAAGCACGAATCTTAGAGTTTTAGAGGTAAATATAATTTTGCTTCCTAAGATTTAGTTTTTATGGGGTAATCGATCAGATTTTTCTTCTGTATATTTTCAGATTCGGCTTTGTACGGTGAACACGAATGTTACTTCTTGAGATTTTTCCAATAATAGCACCTTTAAAAAAAAAATTACAAAACTAGCACCCTGTCAAAAATATTTACAAAACTAGCACCCTTTTATATTGACCGCACCCTCCAGGTGCGATTTACACATAAACCGCATCCCCCAGGTGCGTTTTACACATAAATCGCACCTTGAGAGTGCGATCTAATTTGGTGGGCCTAAATCGCACCTTGCCCATGCGTTTTCATGTCTGGCCTACATGAAACGCATGGCCGAGGTGCGGTTTAGGCCTGACCTACCTAAACCGCACCTTGGTGATGCGATTTATTTCTCCAAACATGAACCGCATCTGCAAGGTGCGATTTCACCAGGTAGATCGCACCCCCCAGGTGCGGTTTACGTGTCAATTATTTACCGACACCATGCAGAGAATTATGTACGTAGGGTTGCATGGCAGACTAAAACCGCACCCTAGAGGTGCGGTTTTCACAATTTTTTCCCCTATATAAGACTTGCCGGAAAACAGACTCTTCACACCTCTCATTCTCCCTCGCATTCTCTTTCATTTTTCTGTTGTATATCTATATTTATTTAGTGTGTTTGCCATTAAGATTAACTCGTAAGTTTATTTTGTGTTACTTTTTATGCCATTAACATTAACTCGTAACTTTATTTTGTGTGACTTTTTATGCCATTAACATTAACTCGTAACTTTAATTTGTGTTACTTTTTATTGCATTAACATTAACTCGTAAGTTTATTTTGTGTTACTTTTTATTGTTATTTGTGATTTGTGATTTTTATGATATTAACTAAAACTATGGTTTGTTTGTGTGCAGATGGCATTCCGTCAGTTGTTGCTTGGCTTACGGTGGAATGGTTACACGGAAGACACCGGAAAGGGGGCCACCTACGTCGGTGGCAATTTTCAGAAAGTAACGGTCGGTACCAGACCGAAGCTTGAAGACCTCCATCGAATATGCACTGACGTTACTTGCATGGATGGCACGAGGAGGGTAGATCGTATGGTGTACCGATACCCAAACAGAGCAACTGGGTCATTGTGGCATGAGGAATATACCATAACCACTCAAGATGACGTAGATTCCATGCTCGAATTCTTGAGGTCCAACAAATTGGCCAAAGCCGAGATGTTCGTTTACACCGAGCCAGCCGTTAGTGTTGGAGGTCATTCTGGACACGGTCAAACATCTGGTATCCATGGTGGAGGTGAATTATATGACGATCATCCCTACCAAAGTTACCATGATCCTCATTCCTATTTTCAGTACCAAGATGGAGGGCAAGGTGCAGGCCATCATCAATCGTTCTCGTCATATGAAGAAGAAGTTCAACCGGACATCCCCAACCAAGCCCAGTACAACTTCCTGACAGGCAGCGGTAGTTTTCACAACTACCATTATGGAGCTGATGAAGGTGCCTTTCATGAGCAGGATCAGACGGAGGCTGCCACACCAGGACCAGTCAGCGACCCCTCTGATGAAGAAGGAGAAAACAACGTCAGTGCAGACAGCTCAGACCCTCTTGAAGGTGCTGATGATTCAGCACCAGATTCGGGTTCAGATAATGATGGTGATGTGGCTCCTGACCGTGTACCAGTCCCCTACTACAATCACATTCCAGACGACAATTGGATGGTCGACAGCGACATGGAGCCGCCAGAGGTCCCAATATGGGGCCCACTCACTGGGTTTACGAAGGGCCAACAATTTGGCTCGAAGAAGGATGTGCGGCACGCCCTTGAGACTGAAGCAATGACTCGGCATTTTGAATGGGACACAACTCATTCCAACACCAAAAGGCTCATAGTCAGATGCCGTAATCATCACGAGGGGTGCAATGTTAGGATTCGGGCCATCAACAGCAAGAGACACGGCCACTGGGTCATATCCCGTGCGGTCAACACACACACATGTGTGTCATCCATAACTTCCCAAGGGCATCGACAGTTGAAATCCAGGGTGGTTGCTGCGGCTATCAAGCATCTGATTGAGGCTGAACCGGATCTGTTGTGTGTCCAAGCCACCTTATTAATATGACAAGAATGAAACTACAATAAGATAAAACACAAGACAAAATGTGTTATGACTACATGATGGGGTATGAGAAGTTTACCTTGTTCCATAAGCTTCACCTCTTAGGGGATGATCGATTGGCCAATCCCTGTCTGGACGTTGGGCCGGTGCAAGCCATGGCATATGCTCCCAAGCCCAAAATTGGACGATGAACATTGCGCCGCCAACCTCCCTCACGGCTTTGTTCGACGCATTGCACAAGTTGTTGTAGATGATAGCTAGGCATGCAGATGCCCAACTATACTCCCCCATCTCCTCCCAACTACTGAAGATGATCCTAAGCCATCCACAACTAAGGAGATTGCTTGCTTTCTTGGAGAAGAACACTCCTCCAATCATGCCTATGAGATAGACACGAGCATATCTCTCCTTCTCATCCTCCGGACTTTCCTCCGTAAGCGGATGACTCTCGTAATGATCTCTAAAATACTTCGTCAACCAAGTAATTGAGACTTGGTGTTTCCTCAATGGTGGCATGCGATCGGTCGCATCAACGTGCCCCTTCACCGGTACTTTCACTCCCAAATGACTGTGGATGAAATGCTGCCAACCGGGCATACCGTCACAATCCTCGGGGGGATGATCACTCACGCACACCGGTTTGCCGTCGATGGGCAGATGGGTTAGGATGGCGACATCCTTTAGCGTGATGGTGGCCTCCCCTTCTCTAAAGTTGAAACAATGGGTCTCCTTTCTCCATCTCTCGGCTAATGCGGTGATGAGTTGACGATCGATTTGGATGCCGTTAAAATGCCTAATCGAGTCTAACCGTGCCCTTTTGAGAAATGGCAAGATAGCGGGGTGGAATGGGAGCACATTTGTGGTACCCCTGTAGCGGATTATTGTTTGTGACTCCTAGGAAAATTTTACACGTTAATTATTATTAGTAA